TTATTATAAATATTTGGCCTTTCAGTATCTGTTCATATTTCTGAGATGAGATATTATGTATTATTTACATTATATCAGACTATTGTCCTCATTTTGTCGCCATATTTTTACAAACATTTCGGCCTTTCAGCATTCACACATTTCTGAGATGAGATATTATGTACACTATTTACATTATTCGACTATTGTCCTCATCTTTGTCGCCATATTTATTACAACGTTTCGGCCTTTCAGTATCTGTCTATATTTCTGAGATGAGGTATTATGTACACTATTTACATTATTCGGACTATTGTCCTCATCTTTGTCGCCATATTTATTACAACATTTCGGCCTTTCAGTATCTGTCTATATTTCTGAGATGAGGTATTATGTACACTATTTACATTATTCGGACTATTGTCCTCATCTTTGTCGCCATATTTATTACAACGTTTCGGCCTTTCAGTATCTGTCTATATTTCTGAGATGAGGTATTATGTACACTATTTACATTATTCGGACTATTGTCCTCATCTTTGTCGCCATATTTATTACAACGTTTCGGCCTTTCAGTATCTGTCTATATTTCTGAGATGAGGTATTATGTACACTATTTACATTATTCGGACTATTGTCCTCATCTTTGTCGCCATATTTATTACAACGTTTCGGCCTTTCAGTATCTGTCTATATTTCTGAGATGAGGTATTATGTACACTATTTACATTATTCGGACTATTGTCCTCATCTTTGTCGCCATATTTATTACAACGTTTCGGCCTTTCAGTATCTGTCTATATTTCTGAGATGAGGTATTATGTACACTATTTACATTATTCGGACTATTGTCCTCATCTTTGTCGCCATATTTATTACAACGTTTCGGCCTTTCAGTATCTGTCTATATTTCTGAGATGAGGTATTATGTACACTATTTACATTATTCGGACTATTGTCCTCATCTTTGTCGCCATATTTATTACAACGTTTCGGCCTTTCAGTATCTGTCTATATTTCTGAGATGAGGTATTATACACTATTTACATTATTCGGACTATTGTCCTCATCTTTGTCGCCATATTTATTACAACGTTTTCGGCCTTTCAGTATCTGTCTATATTTCTGAGATGAGGTATTATGTACACTATTTACATTATTCGGACTATTGTCCTCATCTTTGTCGCCATATTTATTACAACGTTTCGGCCTTTCAGTATCTTGTCATTATTTCTGAGATGAGGTATTATGTACATTATTTTACATTATTCGGACTATTGTCTCATCTTTGTCGCCATATTTATTACAACATTTCCGCCTTTCAGCATCTGGTAAATATATTTCTGAGATGAGATATTATGTACACTATTTACATTATTCAGACTATTGTCCTCATCTTTGTCGCCATATTTATTATAAATATTTCGGCCTTTCAGTATTCAATTATTTTTGAGATGAGATATTATGTACACTATTTACATTATTCAGACTATTGGTCCCTCATCTTTGTTCGCCATATTTTATTACAACATTGGCCTTTCAGTATCTGTCTATATTTCAGATGAGATATTATGTACACTCATTTAATTATTCGGACTATTGTCCTCATCTTTTGTCGCCATATTTATTACAACATTTCTGGCCTTTCAGTATCTGTCTATATTGCTGAGATGAGATATTATGTACACTCATTTACATTATTCGGACTATTGTCCTCATCTTTGTCGTTATATTTATTACAACATTTCGTTCTTTCAAAGTCTGGTTCATATTTCTGAGATGAGGTATTATGTACACTATTTACATTATTCGACTATTGTCCTCATCTTTGTTCGCCATATTTATTGTAACTATTTCGGCCTTTCAGTATCAGTTCATATTTCTTGAGATGAGGTATTATGTACACTTATTTATATTATTCGACTGCCGCCCTTTCATCTTTGTCGCCACATTTATTACAAATATTTCGGCCTTTCAGTATCAGTTATATTTTCGAGATGAGATATTATGTACACTATTTACATTATTCAGACTATTGTCCCTCATCTTTTGTCGCCATTATTTATTAAACATTTCGCCTTTCAGTATCTGTTCATATTTGTGATGAGATAATATGTACACTATTTACATTATTCGGACTTTATTGTCCCTTATCTTGTCGCCATATTTATTACAATATTTCGCCTTTCAGTATCTGGTCTATATTTCTGAGATGAGGTATTATGTATTAATTATTTTACATTATTCGGACTATTGTCCTCATCTTTGTCGCCATATTTATTACAATATTTCTTTGCCTTTCAGTATCTGGGTCATATTTCCGAGATGAGGATTATGTACAATTATTTACATTATCAGACTATTGTCCCCATCTTTGTCGCCATATTTATTACAACATTTTGGCCTTCAGTATCTGTCTATATTTCTGCGATGAGATATTATACACTATTTTACATTATTCAGACTATTGTCCTCATCTTTTGTCGCCATATTTATTACAACATTTCAATTTTCAGTATCTGTCTATATTTCTGAGATGAGGTAATATGTACATTATTTCCATTATTCGGACTATTGTCCCTCATCTTTGTCGCCATATTTATTACAACATTGGCCTTTCAGCATTCGTCTATATTGAGATGAGGTATTATGTACATTATTTCCATTATTCGGACCATTGTCCTCATCTTTGTCGCCACATACTTATTACAACGTTTGGGCCTTTCAGTATCTGTCTATATTTGAGATGAGGTATTATGTACACTATTTTCCATTATGAAGACTATTGTCCTCATCTTTTGTCGCCATATTTTTTACAACGTTTCGGGCTTCTTAATATCTGTCTATATTTCTGAGATGAAGTATTATGTACACTATTAACATTATTCGGACTATTGTCCCTTCTTTGTCGCCATATTTTTACAACGTTTCCGGCCTTTCAGCATCTGTTCATATTTGAGATGAGGTATTATGTACATTATTTACATTATTCGGACCATTGTCCCCATCTTTTGTCGCCATATTTTTTATTACAACATTTCGGCCTTTCAGTATCTGTCTATATTTCTGAGATGAGGTATTATGTAATACATTATTTTATTTATTCGGACTATTGTCCTCATCTTTGTCGCCATATTTATTATAAACATTTCGCCTTTCAGTATTCGTCTATTATTTGAGATGAGGTATTATGTACACTATTTACATTATTCGGACTATTGTCCTCATCTTTGTCGCCATATTTATTACAAAATTTTGGCCTTTCATAGTATTCGTCATATTTCTGAGATGAGTATATTATGTACACTATTTACATTATTCTAGACTATTCCCTCATCTTTTTGTCGCCATATTTATTACAACATTTCGGCCTTTCAGCATCTGTCTATATTTCTGAGATGAGGTAATTATGTACACTATTTTACATTATTCGGACTATTGTCCGCAATCTTTGTCGCCACATTTATTACAACATTTCGGCCTTCAGTATCTGTCTATATATTTCTGAGATGAGATATTTGTACACTATTTAGTATTATTTGACTATTGTCCTCATCTTTTGTCGCCATATTTATTACAAACATTTCTGGCCTTTCAGTATCTGTCTATATTTTGAGATGAGATATAATGTACACTCATTTACATTATTCGGACTATTGTCCCTCATCTTTTGTCGCCATATTTATTACAACATTTCGGCCTTTCAGTATCTGTCTATATTTCTGAGATGAGGTATTATGCATATTATTTCTATTATTCGGACCATTGTCCTCATCTTTGTCGCCATATTTATTACAACATTTTTTCGGCCTATCAGTATTTTAAGGTTCATATTTCTGAGATGTGAGGTATTATGTACATTACCCATTATTCGGGACTATTGTCCTCATCTTTGTCGCCATACTTATTAAATATTTCGGCCTTTCAGTATCTGGGTCTATATTTCTTGAGATGATGTATTAGTACACTATTCACATTATGAAGACTATTGTCCTCATCTTTGTCGCCATATTTTACAACATTTTCGGCCTTTCAGTATCTGTCTATATTTCTGAGATGAAGTACATATGTACATTTTTTAACATTATGAAGACTATTGTCTTCATCTTTGTCGCCAGATTTTTTAAATATTTCGGCCTTTCAGTATCTGTCTATATTTCATGGAGATGAAGTATTATGTACATTATTTACATTATTCGGACTATTGTCCCATCTTTTGTCGCCATATTTATTACAACATTTCGGCCTTCAGTATCTGTCTATATTTCTGAGATGAGGTATTATGTGTATTATTTATATTATTCGACTATTGTCCTCATCTTTGTCGCCACATTATTACAACATTTCGCCTTTCAGCATCTGGTTCATATTTCTGAAATGAGATATTTGTCATTATTTACATTATTCAGACTATTGTCCTCATCTTTGTCGCCATATTTATTACAAATATTCTGGCCTTCAGTATCTGGTTCATATTTCTGAGATGAGATATTATGTACATTATTTACATTATTCAGACTATTGTCCCCATCTTTTGTCGCCATATTTATTACAACATTTCGGCCTTTCAGTATCTGTCTATATTTCTGAGATGAGATATTATGTACACTATTTACATTATTCAGACTATTGTCCCTCATCTTTGTCGCCATATTTATTACAACATTTCGGCCTTTCAGTATCTGGTCTATATTTCTGAGATGAGATATTATGTACACTATTTACATTATTCAGACTATTGTCCTCATCTTTGTCGCCATATTTATTACAACATTTCGGCCTTCAGTATCTGTCTATATTTCTGAGATGAGATATTATGTACACTATTTACATTATTCAGACTATTGTCCTCATCTTTTTCGTTCATATTTATTACAACATTTCGGCCTTTCAGTATCTGTTATATTTCTGAGATGAGATATTATATGTTTTATTTACATTATTCAGACTATTGTCCCTATCTTTTGTCGCCATATTTATTACAACATTTCGGCCTTTCAGTATCTGTCTATATTTCTGAGATGAGGTATTATGTACACTATTTTACATTATTCGGACTATTGTCCTCATCTTTGTCGCCACATTTATTACAAAATTTCGGCCTTTCAGTATCTGTCTATATTTTCTGAGATGAGGTATTATGTACACTATTTACATTATTCGACTATTGTCCTCATCTTTTGTCGCCATATTTATTACAACATTTCGGCCTTTCAGTATCTGGGTCTATATTTCTGAGATGAGGTAATATGTACACTATTTACATTATTCGGACTATTGTCCTCATCTTTGTCGCCATATTTATTACAACATTTCGGCCTTTCAGTATCTGTCTATATTTCTGAGATGAGGTATTATGTACACTATTTACATTATTCGGACTATTGTCCCCATCTTTGTCGCCATATTTATTACAAACATTTCGGCCTTTCAGTATCTGTCTATATTTCTGAGATGAGATATTATGTACACTATTTACATTATTCGGACTATTGTCCCTCATCTTTGTCGCCATATTTATTACAACATTTCGGCCTTTCAGTATCTGTCTATATTTCTGAGATGAGATATTATGTACACTATTTTACATTATTCAGACTATTGTCCTCATCTTTTGTCGCCATATTTATTACAACATTTTCGGCCTTTCAGTATCTGTCTATATTTCTGAGATGAGGTAATATGTACACTATTTACATTATTCGGACTATTGTCCTCATCTTTGTCGCCATATTTATTACAACATTTCGGCCTTTCAGTATCTGTCTATATTTCTGATATGAGGTATTATGTACACTATTTACATTATTCGGACTATTGTCCTCATCTTTGTCGCCATATTTATTACAACATTTCGGCCTTTCAGTATCTGTCTATATTTCTGAGATGAGGTAATATGTACACTATTTACATTATTCGGACTATTGTCCTCATCTTTGTCGCCATATTTATTACAACATTTCGGCCTTTCAGTATCTGTCTATATTTCTGAGAGATGAGGTATTATGTACATTATTTACATTATTCGGACTATTGTCCTCATCTTTGTCGCCATATTTATTACAACATTTCGGCCTTTCAGTATCTGTCTATATTTCTGAGATGAGATATTATGTACACTATTTACATTATTCAGACTATTGTCCTCATCTTTGTCGCCATATTTATTACAACATTTCCGGCCTTTCAGTATCTGTCTATATTTCTGAGATGAGATATTATGTACACTATTTACATTATTCAGACTATTGTCCTCATCTTTGTCGCCATATTTATTACAACATTTCGGCCTTTCAGTATCTGTCTATATTTCTGAGATGAGGTAATATGTACAATATTTACATTATTCGGACTATTGTCCTCATCTCTGTCGCCATATTTATTACAACATTTCGGCCTTTCAGTATCTGTCTATATTTCTGAGATGAGGTAATATGTACACTATTTACATTATTCGGACTATTGTCCTCATCTTTGTCGCCATATTTATTACAACATTTCGGCCTTTCAGTATCTGTCTATATTTCTGAGATGAGGTAATATGTACACTATTTACATTATTCGGACTATTGTCCTCATCTTTGTCGCCATATTTATTACAACATTTCGGCCTTTCAGTATCTGTCTATATTTCTGGAGATGAGGTATTATGTACACTATTTACATTATTCGACTATTATCCTCATCTTTTTGTCGCCATATTTATTATGAAGACTATTGTCTTCATCTTTGTCGCCATATTTATTACAACATTTCGGCCTTTCAGTATCTGTCTATATTTCTGGAATGAGATATTTTTTTCTCTATTTATATATCTCTTTGTGTCTATCTTTCTCTCATTCTTTCTCTTTCTCTCTCGTCCTCACCTCTTTCTCTTTCTCTCTCTCTTTCTATCTAACTATCTATCTATCTTTCGCTTTCTCATTGTTTTCCGTTCTCTCTCTTTCTCTCGCTCTTTCTCTGTGATTCACTTTTTCTCTCTTCCTCACTCTTCTAATTCTTTTTCTCTCACTTTTGCTCTCTGTATCTCTCTATCTATCTTTCTCTCTCTCTTTTTCTACCTTTCTTTCTCTTTCTCTTTCTCTCTCTCTCTCTCTCTCTTTCTGTCATTCTTTCTATCTCTATCATTTTCATTTTTTTCTCTTTTCTTTCCTTCTCTCTCTATCTTTCTCTTTCTCTCTCTCTCTCTCTCTCTGTTTCTCTCTCACACTTACTCACACTCTTTCTTTTTCTGTCTCTCTCGCGCTATCTATCTCACTTTTTCTATCTCTTTTCCTCATCCTTCTCACTCTTTTCTCTCTCTCTCTCTCTCTCTCTCTCTCTCAATTAATATAACATCAAATTGCCGAAGCAGCGTTTTAATCCACTACGCTAGTCGGATGTTTTTCGTGAACTTCATAGACTTTTGTAGAATAATTATCTTACAGAATATAATGCCTCAGATTTTTTTTTTTTTTTTTTTTGCATCATTTTCAACCTGTCGTCGTCTTATCTCTTGAATGATGCAGTTTTTCTATCTTCTCCAGGATCACAAATTACGAAAAGCCTGACTGAAGATTGGTAAACGATTTCGGAAACAGGCATAAAGATAACAAAAAAAATACAGCAGCTTAAGAAGATAACAGAAAACAAGGGAATATTGAAAACTTCCTTTTTTTTTTCTTTAATAACGCCAAAGCAAAAACAAATTGAAAAACATTTAGCATAGAAAAATAATATCTAGCAAAATCACATGCAAAGAAAAAAAAAACAATCAACGCCTTTTTTTTTTTTTGTTTATTTAATTATGAATGATTGTGTTTATTTCCATTTTTGGGTAGCTTTTTTTTCTTTATTTTTTTTTTCTTTTACGAAATCATCACGCATTCTATCTGCCATCTTGGTGTGTCTTCAATCCAGTCAGACATGCGCAGAAGAGATACAAGGCAAAGTAGAATGCTGAGGCAGTAAGATGATAAGATATTAGAGAAAGTAGAAGCAGACAATGCTTGCTTTTATCTTTAAATAGATTTGCGGCTTCTCACAGAGAAAACTAGAATACCCCCCTCAACACACCTCTGCAACAAATAACCGACTTCTTAATAATAAAAGAAACGAAACCAAAAGACGTCTGACAGGAGACAGAGACCTGACAGGTGAGAAAATATCAACTTTAAACTGAAGGTGTCTGTTAACATAGAGCAAAGTTGATGGCATAGGTATGAAACAGGAATTCGAATACTTTCTTTCATGGACGTCACTTTAGCTATTTCGGTCACTGAAACTGACTGATTGTTTTTTGGGGTTTTTTTTGTTTTGTTTTTTTGGTTTTTTTTTTTTTGGTTTTTTGTTTTGTTTTTTGGGGTTTTTTGCTTTTTTTTTCGACTTATCAACACTTTGTAGGGTATTTTAAAGCCGAAATATATTTGGGATTGTGAGAATATTTGCTTTTTGAGTGAATATTTTAATAACAATAATTCTTCCAAATATCCGACTTTTATCCGAATTTCTGAGGAGTTATCATTATTTACACTATTTATATTGAAACTATAGTCATTTATTATCACAACGTTTCGGACGTGTGAAAGAATCAGCGCAGATACTAGAACATGAGGATCCCCTTAGTAGGCCTAGCATAGAAATAAATACAATATGGGAGCAATTAATAAATAAAGAGAAATGACAGCAAGGCTTCAAACGCAACAGCAGCAGCAATCAAGACATAAGTGGCAGCAGTAGCAGCAGCAGCAGCAACAGTCTCATCATCAATCGTAAAGTAATCAACTGTGAAGGATACATTTAAGTGTCTTATAGGACAATTATCTAGTGGGTTAAAGCTTTGTGAATTTGGTGACATAATGATTGGGAGTTCAATCTCTGGGTCGGGTGGAAAATAATAAAAAAAAAGAACTAGCCGATATATCTAGATACCTCATAGATTAACTAAATGATAATAGATGTCATCCAGATCGAAAGACATCTGAGGAAGGGCAGAACGCCCGAAACGTTGGCAGAACAACAACAAAGATGAGGATAATAATCCGAATATAAACAGTTTAAATATGTTCTACTATTTAACTCCCAGTTTGGTATGTTAATCATTATTAGTAACATGCGCCATAATTAGTAACATGTGCCATTCAGAGACATATAGACTAGACTGAATTTCGACTCTATTTGATTTACTAACAGCGGTCTATAAGATTTTTAAACTGTGATCAGTTTAACTATTATCATTTTATTACTACATTTATTCCATCTTATTGATGTTGTTTTCTTTCCATTCTGTAAGAGTAACAACTAAAATGGATAGCATGTAACTCGAAGAGAAAATAATGATATAATCGAATTCCACACTACTTTAAGCAAAAAGCTAGGATGGAAACAAACATCAATATTGGAAAACGCAATAATAGTTAATGAACTTGAGAAAATATTTTCAAGATAAAGATGGATACTTTGAGCCCTGACCACCACTTTACCGGTGGTAGAGAAAAACGACAATGCCCAGACACCGGTTGAACAGTGCTAGAGGAAAATGACTTAATGGCCAGACACCGGTTGAACAATGCTAGAGAAAAACGACTTAATGCTCAGCCAACGATTGAACAGTGCTAGAGAAAAACGACTTAATGCCAAGCCACCGGTTGAAGCGTGGGTCAACACTTGTGTAGTATTTTGCGATTGGTTGTCTTATTTTGAAGAGCCAATCAGAAAACGTCATCTAAATGTTATACCAACATACTGACGTCATCGAACGTTATACTCACATTTCCCCGCGTTTTACTTATGTTTTGTGCATGTGTTTTTGGATAAAAAAGAAAGATCGTTTTTACCATGAAGGCATGCAATCATACTCTCTCCCTGCTAAGCATAATGCTTTATTATTTGTAATTATTTTTATATCTACCCTGAAACATTAGATACCATTTAATTGCGAATTTTACTTCACAAGTTCAGACAGAAGGGTTAAACTTGTTCAGGAACGCAGTACTCAAAGGTGTAATAGAAACATTTTATAAATTTCAACCGAAAATAACACTGACTATTCGCTCATTGAATGCCACGTGTTTCCTTATAAGGAAACCGCATTTGCCATCATCACTACTATTGATTTATTACTAACGTTATTTACAACACCAAAGTTAAGCAACGTCGAGCCTGGTAAGAACTTAATTACTAGCTCCTGTTAGCTTGGATGTGCGATTGGTGATAATGGCTCGTAATTGTCAATCGGAGAGAAGAGTTTCAATTCCAGTTGGCTTCGTTAAATTCATTTAGGCACATATACTCTTGGGAAAGGTAGGCATCAACCTCTTATCCTCCCAGCTATGGGTTAATTAGTAAAAATTTAGTATGACAAAATCATTAATATCTCAAAAATATTCTTATATCCGAAAATTATTTTCCTGTTTTAAATAACCTGCAAATGGTTGATAAACCGCCAATCAATTACTATTTACCCTATTTACACTCTTGGGATTGTTGTCATCAGCTTTATTGCCATATTCACGACGTTTCAGCTGCTGTATGCTCCGGCCTTCTTCCGGTGATTGGAATTTCGAAACGAGCCCTTTATTTATTCCACGGGGGTAGATATTTTAATTCCACGTGTCATGCCTTTTTTGTGGGAATATCTAGGTTTCAGTTGATACCCTTTATTAACTAAACTCTCCAAGTTTTTGTCCTTTTGCTGTGGCAAGGTATTGAACTAATGACACTTTCGGTCAAATCACTTTTTGGATTACTCAGCCATTAGGTTTAAATAAAATGAACTCATTTTTGTCCACAAGGACACATGACAGAGTGGATAAAAGCGTTGGTTGAGGAAATCCCAGTAACTCCATTACGTTATAGTTGCATTAATGCTGCGCTTGGAGTGAATTGATAAAAAGAAACTTAAGACGCAAGGAGCTATTGGGAGTGAAAGAGAACGAGATGGCTTTAGAAGGAACCGGAAAACCATTCCTAAAGAGGAAAAAGCGATAAACCTTCTACTCCTCTTCAAAAGACCGGTGAGGAGAGTGAACCGGACGAGAGGCGAACCTATCTACTCCTATTAAGGGAAACAAAATAATAAATGAAAAAAAAGTAATAAATAAAATGTTAGATTTTAGGCGGAGATATTAGAAGTATAGAGCTGAAATAGACTTTAGAAGTAACCGGAAACCCAGTCCTAAACAGGAAACAAGGGATAAATTCTACTCCTGTTCAAAATACCGGTGAGGGGCGTGAACCGGATGATAGGCGAGCCTATCTACTGCTGTTAAGGGTAACAAAATAATAAATGAAAAAATAACTAATGAATAAAATGTAAGAGATTAGGTGGTGGTGTTAGAAGTACAGAGTTAAAGTAGAATTTAGAAGGAACTGGAAACCAAATCCGAAACAGGAAACAAGGGATAAACCTTTAATCCTGTTCAAAAGACCGTGAAGTGTGAACCTGATTATTGGCAAACCGATTTTTTTAAAAGTCTGTTCACCTTAAGAAGGCGATAATACCACAAAGATGCATTGAGCTACTGAGAGTGTAAAAGAATGAAAAGAGTTTAGAAGGAATCGGAAACCCAATCCTAAAGAGGAAACAAGGGATAAACCTCTACTCCTCTTTAAAAGGCCGGTGAGCGGCGTGAAACGGGCGATAGGCGAACCTATCTACTCCTATTAAGGGAAACAAAATACAAATGAAAAAATAAATAGTAAATAAAATTTCAGAGTTTAGGCGGAGATGTTTGAAGTATAGACCGGAAGTAGACTTTAGAAGTAACCGGAAGCCCAATCCTAAACAGGGAACAAGGGATAAACATGTACAAAAGATCGGAGAGGAGTTTGAACCTGATTATAAGCAAACCGATATTTTTTTTTTAATCTATAATACCACAAAGGAGCATTGGGCTACTTGGAGGGAAAGAGAATGATAAGATTTTGGAAGGAACTGGGAACCCAATCCTAAACAGGAAACAAGGGAGAAACCTCTACTCCTGTCCAAAAGACCGGGGAGGAATGTGAACAGGGCTTGCAAATCGCTTTAAATAGTTTTCTGCCGTATTCCCTTTCTCACCTTGAGCACTTTAACTGATCAAACTGGTTACATCCTTTTTGCAGCTTTAAACATTATATATCCCACCCTGCGGTTCCCGCCATGTCACAGTATTTAAATTCAGACATCTTTCTTCGAAAGTTGCCTATCAAAGATATAGAGCCTAGTCTGCTCTACTATTTAACCTATAACCGGTAGTGGAAAGAGAAGTGATGGATTTATAACTTCTCAGGAATATTTGTGAGAAAGTGAACACAACGATTTCGGTCGGAATTAGAAGGTGATCCCATTTTCTACGCACATCTCTACACCATCTCCGGTTTTCGTAAAATATGA